CCCCCCCCCTCTCCCCCCCCCCTCTCTCTCTCTTTGTGACTCTCTCTCTCTCTCTCTCTCTCTCTCTCTCTCTCTCTCTCTCTCTCTCTCTCTCTCTCTCTCTCTCTCTCTCTCTCTCTCTCCCATATATATATATGTATGTGTCTTCTTTCCTTCTTTTCTGAGAATGAGGTTCAAATGTTGCCTCTTCCTCCTAACCCTCCTCTATTATCTAGACTTCTATTTGTACACTCCAATTATGGGAGAAAATGTCCACCTTTCTCCTCTTTTTTCTTTCAATGTATTCCTCTTCCCTTCCCTTTCCATTTTTCTTTTAAGATAATCTAAATATAGCAGAACACCTGTTGGGCCCTCCATTCAAGGAGACTTCTTCTATCACCCCTGATGATGATAAAATGCTCAAGGGATACATGTATCATCTCAACATATTAGGATATAAATATTTAGCCTTGTTTAGTCCCTTATCATTCCTCACTCATATTTTCCTTTTTATACTTCTTTTGTCTCCTATTTTTCTATTTCAAAGTTCTCTGCAGTTTTTTTTATCAGAAATAATTAAAGGTCTTATACTTCATTAAAATTCAATTTTTCCCTGTAGCATTATAATCAGGTTTGCTGTATAGATTATTATCTATAATGGCATAAATCTTTATTTTTTGCCTTTTGGAGAATCATATTTCAAACCCTTTTTTGTCTTTGTGGTAGCTGCAAAATCTTGTGTGAAGCTAAACTTGAGAGTGTACTACGTGAATATTCTGTGGTTGTTTTTTTTTGTTGTTGTTGTTCGTTTGTTTACTTTCTGGATGCTTATATTATTTTTTACTTTGATATGGAAAATCTGTATTTTCATTCCAATATTTCTAGGGTTTTACATTTTGGGATTTCTTTCAAGAGGAGGATTTTTCATTTTGGAATTTCTTTCTACTGACTAGTAGATTCTTTGTAGTATTACTTTGCTCCCTACATTGAAGAAATCTTGTTAGTTATGATTATAATTTCTTGAAATATTATGGGTAGGCCATTTTTTTTCACTCATAGCTTTCAAGTGGTCCGGTTATTATTCAATTTCTTTCTCTTCAATATTTTCCAGGTCATTGATTTTTTTTAATATAATAAATTTCCTTCTATTTTTTCTTGTATTTTGATTTTCTTTCTAATGTTTTTTGATGTCTCAGATGGTTACTATAGTTTGTCAGTGCTAATTTTCATGGTTTTTTTTTAGGTAAGATTGTATACTAAGCTGTTTATTATCTTTCCATATTTTCAAATTAATTCTCAAGTCTTTTTCATTTATTTTTCCCTTGGTACACTCATTTGATTTTTAAAAATGTTTTAACTTAAAAAAACATTGTTTTTATCTCTTCCAGGAATTCCAGTTGCATTTGTGCTTAAGGTGTGTTTTTCTCTAAAGCTTTTCTGGTAAATATGTTGGTGTTGTTCTCCTTCTTGGGTTGTGTTTCAAAATTTCCTGTCACTACTAGAGTTCTTTTGGGGAGATTATTGGTTTTTATTTGTTTGTTCATTTGCTCATTATTTAAAACTGTTCTCTGACTTTAGAATTTATACTAAGGCTAGGATTTTTGCATTTCTAGGGGTTACATCTGAGCTTTTGTCCTCTGAGTCCTTTTGCTATTTTCTTCATGTATTGAGTATTTCAGAATTTTAGGAACATCTCAGGCTGGGAATCTAGACGTTTTCAGCGTTCCTAAAGCGATGTGATCCAATCTGATCACTGTTGACATATTCTTGTATCTGCATGTGTGTGATTCAGGTTTGGGTCTAAATGTTACACCTGTGGTTCCTGGTTAGAAATTTTAGCACACTGTATCTTTACTCAGAATCTATCAGGCAGCTAAGAAGCTTTACACATTCAGAGTGACAGAACTGCTGAACTCTCTTTGTTCAGGGATTACTGCTATTATTATTATTATTATTATTATTATTATTATTACTATTATTAATTGTTATTATTTCACTACATATTTCATCATGTGCTAAAAGATAAAAATGAGTCCCTATTCTGCTCTGGTTCAGAGCCACAAAGTTATTATTTGCTTCTGAATTTGTTCCTTGCTCAACAAACAGCCTCAAACCCATGACTCTACCCTCCATCACCCCTTTATGGAAGTCCCTTCCTCAGTCCACCACTGCTAGGTGACCCAGAAGTGGATGCTAAGCACCAGAGCTATGAGACTGCACCGTTTCCTGAAATATGAACTAATTTGAAGAGGCTGTGGGACCTTTTACTTCTTGGTTTCTCCTTTTCTGGTGCACAGCCTTGGTCTTGTTTCAGTTCTTGGGAGTTATAATGCATTGCCTGGTGTATTCCTGGCCAGATTGCATCAGCAGTGTTTATATACCTCTGCTCTCTGGCTGTCTTCCATTCCTGCTCTAGGTTGGAAAGTGATACACTTTGATTTTTTTTTTCTTGAATCTCTTGATCCAGAATCTTATCTTGTTTTTGTTTGTGTGTGTGTTTGTTTGTTATTTTAGATATTTGTGAAGGGGTTTGTTTGGGGAGTTGGGCTATACTTTATCCTACTTCTCCACTATCTTGATTTTGACCCTCCAGAATTATGTGTAATATGGATACACTAAATTTCTTTCCAGTAAGATCAGGACTGAAGCAAGGCTTGATTATTACTTTATATAGTGCATGAAATGCTAGCTATAGCTATGTGACAAGAAATAAGAAATGGAAGGAATAAGCACAGACAAAAATGAAACAACACTTTTTGCAGATGATTTGGTAGTCCATTTGAAGAAACATAAAAGTCAACTAAAATTAATTAAACAATAACATCAGCAAACTAGTAGGGTATTTAAAAATATAAATTATCGGACTTTGTTTAGAATACCAATGAAATCAGGTATGAAGGGATAGATGAAGTCCATTAAAATAACTACAGAATATGTAAAATATTTGGAAGTGCACCTACTAAGACATAGTCACAATATATGAATACAACTACAGAACAGCTTTTATATTAATACTTTCATGCATAAATACCTGCAGAAGTATTAACTGATTAATTTTGAGCCACACCCAACCTTATGCAACTTAATTCATTTACTCAGTGCCATACCAAACCAAATTGCTAAATTTAGAGCTTGAAACTATAGAGCTTGACAAGAATAATGACAACACTATTTTTGAGGAACAAATGGTCAATAATTTCAAGATAAGTAAAGAAAAAAACATGAAAAGGAAGGTAGGCTAGGAGTACCAGATCTCAAATTATACTGTAAAGCTATCATCATAAAAATGCTTATTACAGTTAACAAAAGTGAATCAGTGGAACAGATTAGAATAATAACGTAAAAACACAAAATAATTTAGAAACATAGTATTCAATAAGCCCCAAATATCAACAACTCCTGGGGAAAGAACACACTATTTGATAAAATATGCTCAAAAAAATGAAAAGCTTCCTGGCAGAAACAAGCTTTATGCCAAGATAATGTACCACATACCAATATGAATTCCAAATGGAAAGATGATTTTAGTATTACTGGCCACACCATAAAGGATGACTTCGTACAGCTAAGGATAGAGGAAGAGGTCATGACCACACAAGGGAAAGGAAGGATCACAGAAGATGAGTTGGAAAATTTTGCTTAAATAAAATTGAAGTTTTTACACAAAACTAACAGTTAAAATTGCAACGGAAACAGTTAAATGGGGAAAATTCTTTGTAACAATTTTCTCTGAGAAAGGTTTTATGTTTGAGAGATGAGGAATTGATTCAAATATATAAGGATAAGATTCATTCCCCAATAAAAATTGACTAAAGTATATGAAAAGCCTCCTGTAAAAGAAATCTAAGTTTACAGCAGGCACTAATCACCAGTAGTCACAGAAATGTACATCAGAATAACTCTGAGTTTCTGCTTTTTACTCAGCAGATAGGCAAACAAAGGAAATTGAAATTGACAGAGGTACTGTGGGAAAAGAAAGCATACTAATACACTGTTGGTGCAGCTGTGAATTGGTCAAGCTACCCTGCAAAGTCATTAACCTGGATATACACAAATAACCTTTGACTCAGTGATACTACTGCTAGGCATGCTACTCTAACACAATAGGGTCACAGAAACATTTGTAAAAGTACGCAGATGAGAACAGAAGGAACATCAGTAGGAAAGAGACAAGCAAGACAGTTTTGAAAGCAAATTGTTTTATACGTGGAGGGAGAAGCAAGTTATACATTGTTCAGTTTGGTGGCTACATGCACAATCCTCTTCTCTTCTTTTATGGGTATGGGAATGGTTGCATTTATTGACATTTCGTAAGGTCAATTTTTTTTTTAATAAAAGTACTTGGAGATACAAAAAGAAAAAAAACATAATAACATTCAGAAATGTTAAAAAATCCAAATCTAGTCCCTCTTGCACATGATAATAATCTACATACTTAATATCTGTCATGCCCCCCATAAGTCTGTGTTCAATATCTCCCTTTTTTAAAATGAGGTCCTCCTGAATCCGGGGCTGGTGATCTATCTACTGTGCCAACTAACTGTTCCTTTTTTTTTTTAGTAAGTTTATTTTTTTTACTGCCTTATTTTGTGGAGAATTTTTTAATTATCCACATCTCTTTTATGTTCAGTATCACATTTGATCTTCACCAAAACCTTTTGATTGTTTTCAGGCCTGAAATTATTACACCCATTTCAAAGAAGAAGAAATTGAGACTTGGAGATGTTCAGTGACTTGAACAATGTCCCCTAGCTATGAAATGGTAGAAGCAGGACTAGAAGCCAACTTTTGGCAATGGCCTTGCCCAAGTCCCTTCTTACTTCACTTTGCTAACAACAAGCTAAGAATGACAAAGTACCCACGAGAAAAAAATATTTTTCCCCCAGTGGTCATAGCAGAATTTAATGGTTTGTTTTGTTCATGAGTTGGCAGCAGAGCTGCCAAGTATCTCCAAGGGAGCACCATCTCCCAAGAGCAGCAGGGCTTCCAAGTCTGCATTATGTCCTTGTGTTCTGTCACTTTAGCTACTGACATTGAAATATGATGCTGTAATGCTCAGTGCTGGCGAATGAGCTGGTGGACCAAACTCCCTGATTTATTCTCTCACTCAGTTTCTTTTGTACTTCTGGAAGCTGAACCGAATGGAGAGTAGCAGTTGGCATCACTAAATCTACTGCCATCCAAGCCACAGCAATGGCCAGGAGTGACCTCTCTGCCACTAGTAACCTTTGAACTCTTTGACCCAGTGATTAGTGAAGAGTTTCTCCAATCCAATTCTATGTCTCCTAGGCTTGGGATTTTAAGACCAAACTTTGATTATAAAGTTCATGACTAACTCTCCTTTTTGGAATCTTGGCCACTTTTCTCCATCATCAAGCCAGCTAGGTTCTAGGATATTCAATTCCAAGACTGCAGTGCAGTGTAGACACCAAAATGGTATAGTGGAAACATTGCTGGATGCGGATGCAGGAAGACTCGTGTAGTAAAACCTTCAGAATCTCAGACAGTGACTCACTTTCCCTATGGGTAAGTCACTTCACTTTGATTTCCTTATCCATAAACTGTGAGTAATTACACCTGTGTTCTTTATTTCATAGGGCTGTCTTAGGGCTCAAATGAGATCATGTATGCAAGTTATAGTCAAACATCCATGGCCTCTATAAACACCTTTTATTATCCACTACTTACAGTTTTTCAAGTTCATTATCTTTCAGTAATTGAAGGAGCCATTTGAGGGATGGGTGATTGTGTAGTCCAAGGAAACACCTAATTTAATAATGTTGATCAATTATTTTATTCATTAATGTCAATTAATTAATATTAATAATGTTAAGGGTATGCTGTGTATAAGACACTGCAGGAAAAAATTTAAGGAGTGGTTTGATGAGAAAATTTAGGTGAGAAAGAGTCCTTGCCCTAAATGATAATAGTTCATATTTATGTAACATTTGAAAAGAACTTCAATTTTCTCATTTGAATCTCCCAACTACTGTTTGAAATAAATACCATCATTATTTTGTCCTTCCCCCTTTTATAAATAAGTAATCTGGAGCTGACTTAACTAAGTGATTTGTCCTGATTTATACAATTAATAAGTGTCTGAGGTGGGAAGTAAATCCACATCCTCTTGACTCAAAGATTAAAGCTCTATTACTACAGCACATTGCCATGCTAGTACTTTGTAGTGTAGTCGCACCTCTATCCCCTTTTCTCTGTTTTTGTGTTTCTTGGAGGACCTACTCATCCATTATCATGTAAAAGCCCGCTGTCTTACACTGATCATGGTAAGTCTCATGTCTGTAACATTTAATTCTTGACCCTTTCCTTACAACCATTGTGTGAACTCTATACCCTAAGAAATATTATTCCCATTTTCCAAATGAACAGCCAAAGGTGCAAAAGGATTGATTAGCTTCCATTAAATCACAAAAGGAATTAGTGAATGCCCAAGCAATACTAGAACCCAAGTCTTCAGATTCCTAATCAATTATGTCTATAAGAGAGTGCTGTTCACCAGCACTGGGGCATTTCAGAGGAGAAAACAAATCACTTTGTCAGTCCTGGTGCCCAAGAAGGGTTCTCTCTAGACATGGGAACTCAAGAGGACCCAACCTTGAATCTGTATGTGAAAAGGATTGTCATAGATTAAGTCTATACATATTTGATTCAATACTATCAATCACAAAAATGCCACAGGTGCTGTGTATGAGACAAAGAATACCATAAACTGTAAGTCCAAGTTGGGTGTTTGTTTCCTACTCAATATTGCTCCTATTACATGAAAAGAAAATTCTTCATTGTTGGTAATTGCAAAAGTTGATGTTTTTCTACTCCTCTGAAACTCTTTGAGATAAAGTTTTATTTATTTACTTCATCCTTACCTCCCAGTTTCATGTTAACCATATCAGAAAAAAAAGTCCTTACACAGTCATGTTATGATGAATAATGACTGTCTTTAAAATTAATACAGGTTAAAATATAGATCATAGAATCATTGATGCCGAGATGGAAAGGATCTCAGTGATCATCTAGTCTAATATATTTCCATTATCGACAAGCAAACTGGGGTTTGTGATGTTCTAGAAGTAAAACACATTAAGGGATTTGTGAAAGATGAAACAGATAATAGCAGTAGTATAATAGTAGATAACACTTTTATCTAGTTTTAAGGTTTTCAAATCACTTTACAGAATCATCTTCTTCTATTCTCAGAACAACCCTATGGCGTAGGTACCATTGTTTTATCCTTTTTTGACTTATGAGTGAATTGAGGTTCTGAAGTGAGGTGGCTTCTCCACAGCAACAGTCATCCAGGAGACACCTTTTTACATAAAATGAGAAACAAACTTTATCTCTCCACATCTCAGTTATATAGACATATACGTATATATATATATATGTATATATGTGTACATATAGATAAATATAGAGATATATGTGTGTGTCTATGGCTGTGTGCTTCTATGTCTGTGTGTATCTATGTCTGTGCATGTCTTGAGTTGAACAAAGGATCAATTAGCCCTTCCGTCAAGACTTTAAGTGAGAGGAAATCCAGCACATGTTAAGAAAGCCCCTTCCATTTCTGGATAGCAAAATTTTTGGAATCTTTTCCTTACTTTAAACCTAAGTTTGTTTCTTCTTACCTTCTAATCTTTTCTCCTGGGTATTCTCTTTGGGTCCAAATAAAATTAACCAAATACCTGAAGATACCTAATCCGAACAACTGCTTTGACACCCATCTTTTATCTTTTCTTCACTGAACATCGTCAGTTCCTTCCACCAATCCCAATATGGGAAGCTTTCAAATTCCTTCAACAAAGTAATACTTTGGAGAATCTCTAGCCTATCAATGTCCTTCCTAAAGTGTGGAACCCATGACTGAACATGTTGCTCCAAATGTAGAGTAAAAAGGACCACCTTGGTATGCCTGGATACTGTGTCTCTTTATGCAATTTAAGGTCAAATTGGTTTTCTTGCTAGGCATGTATGTCACAAGGTAATTGTGGGGATCAGATGATCCAATCTATTTAAAGTACTTTGCAAACTATAGAGAGGCAACTCTGGTAAAATGGATAGTGCACTCGGACTGGAGTCAGAAAGTCCTGATATCCAATTCAGTCATAGATACTTAAGGTATGACACGGGCAAGTCATTCATCCCTATTTACCCCTCTTTCCTCAACTTTAAAATGGAGGTAATAACAGAATATACTTCACAGGGTTGTTGTGAGAATCAAATAAGAATATTTATGAAGTATAGCACAGTGCATGGCATATAATAGATGTTATACAAGTACTTTTCCCCTTCTCTCCACTAATATGTGCGCTAGTTCTAATTAACTTTGGTATCAACTCTTAGCATTTCTGTTCCTCTCAACAAAAAGATCATTCTCTTTGTCAGAGGAAATAGAAACAGAATACAAATTGAGTAGCTCTGGATTTGCTTGGAATTCATTGTACTTGTCTCATCAGCTGTGAGAATCAGTCCAATTCCTTATTAGATTATTCTTTGTTTCCCCAAATAGTCAATTTTACATTAACAATATACACCTTTTACAGTCTTTAGTTTTCTGGGTTTCCCTCATTTAAAACTGCATGCTGACACTCCTTTAACTCCATTAATATAAGATACAATCTGCTTTTGCATTTATCCTTGGTTATCTCTCCTTTTTTTTTTCTTTTAGGCAAATTTATTTTTCATATCTAAGTCTGCCTGATTGTCAATTTTTGTTCCTGTGTCTTCAAAATTTTATTCTTGATATCTTTGGTTCCTTTCAATTTTAAATTCCCCACAGAATGATCCTTTATCCTGCCTCTAAATTACCTGGAATTGACTCTTCCCAAGTCTATTATGCATGTCTGACATGTTTTCCTTCCTTTTTCTATCTCAAACTTTAGGATTGTGTAACTTCTTTTCCCCTACTCTTGTAACATTCCCATTTATTCTAATTCTACCCAATAATTCCTAATAATTTTTGAGAATCAAATGCAGGATAGAGTTTTCTCATATTTGTTCTTCCATTTCACATCTTTTATGCATTAAAATATTGTCTATTCAAGCAATCAATAGGTTTCTTTGAGGAGAGAGACAGAGATAGACAGATAGCTAGCTAGATATGAAAAGAGAAAGAGACACAAAGCAAGAAGCAGGCAGACAAAAAAGACAAAAAAGAGTCAGGAAGAGACAGACAGAGACAAATATGCAGAGATACAGAGATAGAAAGATAAAGTCAGAGAAAGGCATTGAGAGACAGAGAGGGGGAATAAGAGAGAGCATTCTGACAGACGTCCAGATACTTGAAGATTCCCATCAGTAATATGCTGACAACAATATAAATTCTTTTCATCATGTTTTTTCACTATGGTTCCTGGATTTCTTTAATGATATATTTTCTTAGTTTAAAAATATTATAATAGCTTGTTGTAACTTTTCCTATTTCATTTAAATTAAAGAAACAACTTTCCAGAACCATAATCAAGTTATCAGTCCCATCCCTCAAGTCTAAATTGTACCTTTACAGCCAGATTTGTTTTCATGTATTAGAGATTCTAACTCATCTTGCCTGTGAGGCATAATTCCTTTCAGTGGATGGAGATTTTAGTTCAAACTTGAAACAGACTAACCTAAAAATTGGTGATTTCTGTGTGACCAAAAAACATATATGGAATGAAAAAGCAAATTTTCATTTTTGTAGCCAACTTCTGTTTTTACACAGTGGTGGAGAATTGAAAAAGGGACACGCTGTGGGAAGGAAACAAATTTAGAAGTCACACATTTATTGTTAAGTGAGACACCAGTGGTCTTTTGGACATATGATTCTCACAACTATGCAACTGGTTTCCATTGGCAACTGTTCCTCCTTGAGAATGGTGACTTCAATCTATTGCATAAACTTTAAAGTTGCAGTGATTGCAGAAGTAAGCAGGATCCCAAATGAATTCTTGCCCAACTTGCTTTGATCCTCTCCTTCTTTCTCACAGTTTTTTAACTTTCCTCTCATTTGGTTCTACCTTCTTCTTTATTTTTCTTTCCTCTCTTCTTTATCAGAGTGAAGCATATTCATAAGCAAAGATCTAGTTCCCCAAACTTGGTCTACAGTATTCCCCACTCTTATGCTGATTTTTGCCAGAGAATAAAGCCTTTCTCTTTCCTGAAGTGCAAAATGTCACTTTGGTGATGATTAAATTTGTAGGAGATTAAACAAAGTGAGCAGTAATACATGAGTGACTTTCTTTCTATGAGAAAATGGATGAGTGGATTTTGAGGACCTAGAATAACTGCTATGACAACTACCTAGATGTTCTTTTCCCCTTAATTGGTATTTGTAGACTCCACAGAAGATGTGTCTCTAACCATATTTTATGTCTTGGAGTAAATCATCATGCAGAGTGGATTTTTCTGATGATTCTTCTTTTGTTGCAGGTGAATGGTATCACTTTCAAATGACATCCATGGAGAACAGATCTGAAGTGAATGAGTTCATCCTTACAGGATTAACAGATGTTCCAGAGGTTCAGGTCCCTCTCTTCATAATATTTACCCTCATCTACCTCATCACCCTTCTCAGCTGTTACCCCGAAGATGATAGCTGGGCTTCTCACAGGGAACAAGTTTATATCCTACAGTGGATGTGCTACACAGATTTTCTTCTTTGGGGCTTTTGCTGTTACTGAAAATTTCCTCTTAGCCTCCATGGCTTATGATCATCATGCTGCTATTTGCAAACCCCTATATTATACTACCACCATGACATCAACAGTGTGTGCACATCTGACCAGTAGTGCTTACATCAGTGGCTTTATGGCCTCCTCCATATTCATAGGAAGCATGTTTAGCCTTTCCTTCTGTAGGTTGAACATAATCCATCACTTTTTCTGTGATATTCCCCCTGTCCTCGTTCTCTCTTGCTCTGACACTCACATCACTGAGTTAATAATTTTTATCTTAGTGTCACTAAATACTCTTTTCCCATTTCTTGTCATCTTTGCCTCTTACTTACTAATCTTCATCACCATCCTGAAGATTCATTCTGCTAATGGCCGCCAGAAAGCCTTCTCCACTTGTACATCCCATCTCACAGCAGTGTCCATATTCTATGGGACAATGTTGTTCATGTATTTCCAACCCAGCTCAAGCCATTCCATGGACACAGACAAAATAGTGTCAGTGTTCTACACCATGGTCATCCCTATTTTAAACCCTCTGGTCTATAGTCTGAAGAACAAAAATGTCAAGAATGCTTTTAGGAAAGTTGTGAGGGGACGATGACTTCAGTTGGATCCATTTTTTCTTAGAGAGAAAATCTAATCTGCAACTTCCCTACTCTAGAACCTAACCTTGAAATCAGGCTATTTTTCTTATGCACAGAAAACTATATAATCCAAACTTTTTCAAACATAACATATGTAGTAGAATATATTATAGTTTTGGAGGTAGGAGAGACTTGAATTTCTATTGTGTTAGACACTTTCATGCAGTATAGCCCTAGCAAGTCCCAATCTGTTTCCTCATATTTAAAGGGCCTTAATAGTACCCTCTCTCTTAAAAGATTGTTATGTTTAATGAATAATATGTGTATATTGTCTTCTTTTTGTTGTTCAGTTGTATCTGGCTCTTTGTGATCCCATTTTGAGGTTTTCTTGGCCAAGATACTGGATTGGTTTCCTATTTCCTTCTCCAAGTCGTTTCACAGATAAGAAACTGAGGCAAACAGGGTTAAGAGATTTGCCCAGGGTCATACAGCCAGTAAGTGTCTGAGGCTCTATCCATATTCCTGAAGATGACTTCTCTTGATTCCAACTTTCACACAGGGACAAATGTCTGGTTTTGTCCTGAGGCTATGATCCCAAAAGCTGTCCTTCTGTTGTGGCTACACCCAACCTCCCAATTCTCTGTTACCCTTGGCCTATCCTAGTCCTCCATTTTCTCAACTCCTTATGGCCCCTGGCCATTTCCCACCCTTGATCCTGTCTGCGCTCCTTTTTCCCTTGGCCACATGGTCCAGGTGCCGGGAGTTCTGTTCACCCCAGCTTGCTGGACACTCCCATCCACCCCTCCTCCAGTCCCCTCAAACTACTTGGCCTCTTCTAGATTCTTCCCCCAGTCTTTCTGTATGTGGGGTCCATCTTGTCTCCATTGGGGAGGTCATATTCTTGAAATCTGGACACTGCTCAGATTGTTATAATCTAGCCAATAGCTTGCTAATGTTCAGACTCATTGGGAGTCTGATCAATATGACAGATGTTCTAATAAACCTTGTCTTTGAATGAAAAAAATATATAAATTTGGAAGGTTTGTTAATTGGTTATATAGATGAGGGGACAGACTGACAATGAAGGACAAATGAGTAGGCAAAAGTCATAGTACAGACAAAAGGTTATGAATTCTTGAATTAGGAAGGTGACAGAGTACTGAGGAAAGAATAAATATGAGATGATGTGGAGACTACAGGGGGTGAGGTAGAGTCAAAAGGATGAAAGGTGATCATTTCTTAAATATTTACTAAATGAAAGGCACTGCTAAGTTTTGGGTGCACAAATACAAAAATTAACACAACCTATCAGCACTAGGTGGTTATAGTATCTACTTGTGTTTTTAAAGAGATTATATCATCATTTATTTAGAGCCAGTTGGGAACTTTGACATGGTTCAGTTCAATATCTTCACTGAAAGATAAGGTAACTGAGAGATCTTAGGTGACTTACTCTAAATCACTCTGGTAATGTGACAGAGCAAAGATTCAAATCACTATTCTATGATTCCTAGTCCAGTGCTCTTTCTAGATCACCACTTATTTATCTTAGGAAATCAATAGGGATATGAAGACTTCTTCTTTGCCTGCATTTCTTGGCCTAAAGTGGTTTGAGATGATGCGAGATGCCAATACTTGAAAGTCAAATATAAGACTATAAACTAGATGGAGTAGAGTCCCAGGGGTGGGGAAGTTGCAGCCTTAAGGCCACATGTGGCCTTCTCAATCCTTAAGTGCAAAATTTGGATTCAGTCAAAAGGCCATGCTTAAGAATTTAAAAGGCCACATGTGGAATTAAGGCCAAAAGTTCTCTACCCCTGGTAAATGGGGGAGACATCACAGAGTTACAATGAGCAGACAGGATGGAAGATATTATTTGAACAGTTTTCAGAATAGTGATGATACTTGACTTGACGGGACTAAACAAACTACCTGAGAGAATGTAGAAAAAGAAGGATGGAAGGCCTAGAACTGAGCCACAAGGAATGCTTATCACTAAGAGAAAGAGAATTTAGTAAAGGAGACAGAGAAAGAATAATTAGAGCAAACTGAGGAAAAACACAAGTGCCATGTCACAGAAGTCAGAGGAGAAGAAATTTCCAAGAATTGTCTTGAATGGTCAACATGGAATGAGAATAAAGAAATGATGTCTGTCTGTACTGATAAGCAAGTTCCCATTAGTGGTAATGGATAGAGTGAGTATTCAGTAGAGTAGGCAGGCCAGCCTTTGGTTTGCACAAGGTTAAGGAGGTTATGTGTACTTAGCAAATGGAGATATTAATTAAATACAAGTATACATGTATATGCATATATACACATATATGTATTTATATGCTACATTTGTGTATACACAAATGCATACACACATGTATATATATATATGTATATATGTATATATGTATATGTGTATATGCATACACCAACAGAGGCATTAACTCTATCCAAGTAACCTTTATCATCAGAGGTCCTCAGCTCACTTAAGACTAACCTTGTACTATTTCTAGGGATACAGAGCTATGAACCTCATTCCCTGGGTGGATTCCTACACCAACACATAATTTTCTTAGGTTCTGCTTGGCATTCATTCCATAGTACTCTAATTGAAGACTCCTGTTTTGTTCTTGAGTAACACCAGAGGTTCATTAGCAAAGTTCAAAGATATATTAGAGGGTACACCAAGATGGTAGATGAAGAATAAAGGATATTTTAGGGGCAGCTAAGTGATGCAATGGATAGAACACCAGCCCTGAAGTCAGGAGGACCTGAGTTCAAATGTCGCCTCAAATCAAACACTTGACTTTTACTAGCTGTGTGACCCTGGGCAAGTCACTTCACCTCAATTGCCTAAAAAATAAAGGATATTTGTATCATTTTTCTCTTCTTGGGAGCTATAATGCATTGTCAGGTGTATTCCTGGCCAGATCTCATCAGCAATGATTATACACCTCTGTTCTCTGATTGTCTTCCTTTTTAGCCATGGGTTGGAAAATGATTCATTGTAATTTTTTTCTTGGATTTCTTGATCAAGACTCTTATCTTGATGTTGTTTTTTTTTGTTTGTGTGTTTTTTAGATATTTGTGAAGGGGTTTGATTTGGGGAGCTGTGTTATACACTAACCTATTTCTCCACTATCTTGATTTGACTCTCCAGGATTATATGTAATATTGATGTACTGAATTTCTTTCCAATAAGATGAGGGTTGAAGCAAGGCTTGATTATTACTTTATATAGTGCATGAAATGCTAGCTATTATGATGTGACTAGAAACAAGAAATGGAAAGAATAAGCAGAGATAAAAATGAAACAACACTTTTTGCAGATGATTTGTTAGTCTATTTGAAAAACCATAAAAAGTCAACTAAAATTAATTAAACAATGACATCAGCAAAGTAGTAGGGTATTTAAAAATATAAATGATCAGAATTTGTGTAGAATACCAATGAAATCAAGTATAAAGGGATAGATGAAGTTCATTACAGAATCTGTAAAATTTATGGAAGTGTACCTACTAAGACACACCCAAAATATATTAATAAAACCACAGAATAGTATTTACATTAATAATTTCAGACACGAATACTTACAGAGTCATTAATTGATTGATTTTGAGTCAGGCCCAACCTTATGCAACTTAATTTATTTACTCAGCGCCATCCAAAACCAAATTGCTAAAGTTTAGAACTTGAAAGTAGAGCTTGAAAAAAAAAAGACAACACCCTTTTTGAGGAACAAATTATCAATAATTTCAAGATAAATAATGAAAAATTTGTGAAAAGGAAGGTAGGCTAGGAGTGCCAGATCTCAAATTATACTGTAAAGGTATCATCATAAAAATGTATGTTATGGTTAACAAAAGTGAAACAGTGGAGTAGATTAGGCTAACAATATCAAAAAGCAATATAATTTAGAAACATAGTATTCAATAAGGCCAAAAGACCAACAACTCCTGGGGAAAGAACACACTATTTGATAAAATCTGCTTGAAAAAATGAAAATCATCTCAGCAGAAACAAGTTTTAGGCCAATATGAATATGAATTCCAAATGGATACATGATTTTAGTGTTACTGGCCACACCACAAATAAAGGAATCAGAAAGGAAAACTTCTTACAGATATGTATAGAGGAAGAGGTCATGACCAAACCAGGGAAGGGGAGGATCACAGAAGATGACATTGACAAATTTTCCTTAAATAAATTTGAAGTTTTTACACAAAACTTACAGTTAAAATTACAAAGGAAACAGTTAAATGGGAAAAAAAATTCTTTGTAAAAATTCTATGATAAAGGTATGTTTGAGATATGCGGAACTGATTCAAATATGTAAAGGTAAGATTCATTCCCCAATAAAAATTGACTAAAGTATATGAAAAGGCTCTCGTAAAAGAAATCTAAGTTTATAATTGGCATACAAAAATGTTCTAAATCACTAATACTTAGAGAAATATACATCATAATAATTCTGAATTTCTACTTCTAATTCCTCAGATAGGCAAAAATAGGAAATTGACAAAGGTGTTGTGGACAAACGAAGCATACTAATACATTGTTAGTAGAGCTGTGAACTGATCAAGCTATCCTGGAAAGTCATTAACCTGGACATACATAACCTTTGACTCAGTGATACTACTGCTACGTATTCTACTCTAGCTTATTAGGGTCATGGAAACATTTACAAAAGAACACAGATGAGAACAGAAGTAACATCGGTAGGAAAGGTCCAAGCACTACAGTTTTGAAAGCCAAATGTTTTATACGTGGAGGGATAAGCAAGTTATACATGGTTCAGTTTGGTGGCTACATGCTCAATCCTCTTCTCTTGTTTTAGGTGTATGGAAATGCTTGCATTGATTGGTATTTCTTAGGGTCAGAATTTTTTTTCATAAAAGTGCTTAGAGATAAAAAATAAAAAACATAATAAAGTTCACAAACATTAAAAAAATCCAAATCTAGTCCCTCTTGCACATGATAATGATCCACATACTTAATATCTGTCATACCCCCCATAAGTCTGTGT